TGCCCGGGGCAGCCTTATCAGGGACACCCAGGGAGCCGGGAGCGGGTCTGCTCCGGCTGATGGGGGACTTTGCTCCCGAGGAAACGGGGCTGAGCACCCGGAGCGTGGTTGTGGCCGCCGGAGGAGGTGCAGGGAGCAGCACCCGGAGCAGCCCCTGCCCGCCCCACGGAAGGATTCCTGGAAAAGTGCTGCTGCAGGGATCCCACAGGAGTGCCCTGGAAAAGTGCTGCTGCAGGGATCCCACAGGAGTGCCCTGGAAAAGTGCTGCTGCAGGGATCCCACAGGAGTGCCCTGCCTGCCCCCCTGGCTGTGCCCGGGGGACTGGGGGGCTCCAGGGGGGCGACGGGCCTGGCTGGCACCACGTCCCCCATTCGAGGGCACTGCTGGGGGGGTCTCGGGTCCCTGGAGAGGGACATCTCACAGGGGCACGCAGTGACAGGACAAAGGGGAACAGCTTTGGGCTGAAAGAGGAGGGATTTGGGGATATTGGGAAGAAATTCCTCCCTGGGAGGGTGGGCAGGCCCTGGCCCAGGTTGCCCAGAGAAGCTGTGGCTGCCCCTGGATCCCTGGAAGTGTCCCAGGCCAGGTTGGACGGGGCTTGGAGCAACCTGGGCTGGTGGGAGGTGTCCCTGCCCATGGCAGGGGGTGGGACTGGGTGGGCTTTCGGGTCCCTTCCCACCCCGACCATTCCAGAATTCCGTGGTTCTGTGATGTCTCAGCAGGGAAAGCTGCCGCGGGCACTGCCCTGCCCCTGCGCTCACAGCCCGCGGGCACAGCGAGGGATTTACCGGTGTCCTGTTCCTTTTCCAGCGGGTCAGGGCCCGTCCCGGGGCTTTCGCTGCCACCCCCCTGTTCTCCGGCAAAGCCCAGGAGTCTCCGCTGCAGAGCGACATTCCCGCAGGGATGGGGAGCGACATTCCCGCAGGGATGGGGAGCGATATTCCCGCAGGGATGGGGATGAGGAGAGACATTCCCGCAGGGATGGGGAGCGACATTCCCGCAGGGATGGGGATGGGGAGAGACATTCCCGCAGGGATGGGGATGCGGAGAGACATTCCCGCAGGGATGGGGAGCGACATTCCCGCAGGGATGGGGAGCGGCATTCCCGCAGGGATGGGGAGAGACATTCCCGCAGGGATGGGGATGCGGAGCGACATTCCCGCAGGGATGGGGAGCGGCATTCCCGCAGGGATGGGGATGCGGAGCGACATTCCCGCAGGGATGGGGATGCGGAGAGACATTCCCGCAGGGATGGGGATGCGGAGCGACATTCCCGCAGGGATGGGGCTGCGGAGAGACATTCCCGCAGGGATGGGGCCGCGGAGAGACATTCCCGCAGGGATGGGGATGCGGAGAGACATTCCCGCAGGGATGGGGAGCGACATTCCCGCAGGGATGGGGAGCGACATTCCCGCAGGGATGGGGCCGCGGGCAGACCCTGCCTTTCCCCTCCTGCCCCCGGAGAGCGCTCGGAGGCTGCTCAGGCTGTGCCGTTATGCAACCGGCTCCTCGCTATGCAAATGTATGCAAATGTATGCAAATGTATGCGGCTCTCGCCTCGCACCACCTCCTGTTTGCTTTCAGCTGCTTTTTTGGAAATTCGGCGCTTCCTGTGGGATCGCAGCCCGAGTCCCCGGGAGCCACCTGGAGCCCTTCCAGCTCCTCGGGCGGGCTGGAGCCGGCACCGAGTCCCCGCAGACCCCTCCCCACCCGGGCTGAGAGTGCTCCCCCCCCATCCGACACCACCCGAGCCCTCGGAGCGTCCCGGTGCCCGCGGCACACGCGGGTGCCCAATCCCTGCCGGGAGCAGGGACACGGGGGTCTGTCCCACCCGTGGCAGGGGGTCTGTGGGACACGGGGGGTCTGTCCCACCCATGGCAGGGGGTCTGTGGGACACGGGGGTCTGTCCCACCCGTGGCAGGGTGTCTGTGGGACACAGGGGGTCTGTGGGACACGGGGGTCTGTCCCACCCATGGCAGGGGGTCTGTGGGACCCGGGGGGGCTGTTGGGTCGTCTGTGGACACGGGGTCGGATCTGTCCCACCCATGGCAGGTCGGTGTGTGGGACCCGGGTGGGGTCTGTGTGACACGGGGGGCGGTCTGTGGGAACATGGGGGGGTCGTCCCACCCGTGGCAGGGGGTGTTGGACACGGGGGGTCTGTCCCACCCATTGTAGGGGGTGTGTGGGACACGGGGGGTCTGTCCCACCCGTGGCAGAGGGTCTGTGGGACACGGGGGATCTGTCCCACCCATGGTAGGGGGTGTATGGGACACGGGGGGTCTGTGGGACACGGGGGGTCTGTGGGACACAGGGGGTCTGTCCCACCCATGGCAGGGGGTGTGTGGGACACGGGGGGTCTGTGGGACACGGGGGGTCTGTCCCACCCGTGGCAGGTGTGCGTGGGTAACACAGCGGGGCTGTGTGTGACACGTGGTGTCTGTTGTGGGACCAGGGGGGGCTCAGGGGGGTCTGTGGGACACGGGGGGTCTGTGGGACAGGGGGGTCTGTCCCACCCATGGCAGGGGGTCTGTGGGACACGGGGGTCTGTCCCACCCATGGCAGGGGGTCTGTGGGACACGGGGGGCTGTCCCACCCATGGCAGGGGGTCTGTGGGACACAGGGGGTCTGTGGGACACGGGGGGTCTGTCCCACCCATGGCAGGGGGTGTGTGGGACACAGGGGGTCTGTGGGACATGGGGGATCTGTCCCACCCGTGGCAGGGGGTGTGTGGGACACGGGGGGTCTGCGGGACACAGGGGGTCTGTGGGACATGGGGGATCTGTGGGACACGGGGGGTCTGTCCCACCCGTGGCAGGGGGTGTGTGGGACACGGGGGGAGGAGGAGGGACAGGCAGGGCAGCACAGCTCCAGCGGGTCCCCATGGAACCAGGCGTTGGTGTCTCTGGGAACTACTGAAACAACCACCTCTCCTGGTATCTACTGAAACAACCACCTCTCCTGGTATTTGGGGGTGGGTTTTCCCCCGTGGCTCACTCCAAATGCTTTGTGAGTCCACAGGACCCTTTAGCTCCCAGGACACCCTGCAGTGGGCAGTTCTTCAGTTCAGCCACCTGGAGTGTGCAGAATTCCTTCCTTCCTTCCCCCTCAGCTGGCCTCGTGCTGGACTGGCAATGACCCACAAACCTGGGGCTGGAAAACCCACAAACCTGGGGCTGGAAAAGACACGGAGCACATGCCCACACTCCGGAGCACGTACCCACACCCCAGAGCACGTGCCCACACTCCAGAGCACATGCCCACACTCCAGAGCACATGCCCACACTCCGGAGCACGTACCCACACTCCAGAGCACATGCCCACACCCCGGAGCACGTACCCACACCCCAGAGCACGTGCCCACACTCCAGAGCACATGCCCACACCCCGGAGCACGTGCCCACACCCCGGAGCACGTGCCCACACCCCGGAGCACGTACCCACACTCCGGAGCACGTACCCACACTCCAGGCTGCTGAACCACCCACCCTGGGCACCTCTTGTCCTCCCTGTCCTTCCCTGTCTCATCATTCCTGTGCTTCTCTGAGTCCTCACGAGGCGGGACAGTGGGATGGGATGAGATGGGACAGTGGGATGGGACAGTGGGATGAGACAGTGGGATGGGATGGGATGGGACAGTGGGATGGGATGAGATGGGACAGTGGGATGGGATGAGATGGGACAATGGGATGGGACAATGGGATGGGATGAGATGGGACAGTGGGGTGGGATGAGATGGGACAATGGGATGGGACAGTGGGATGGGATGAGATGGGACAGTGGGATGGGACAATGGGATGGGATGAGATGGGACAATGGGATGGGACAGTGGGATGGGACAGTGGGATGGGATGAGATGGGACAGTGGGATGGGACAATGGGATGGGATGAGATGGGACAGTGGGATGGGACAATGGGATGGGATGAGATGGGACAGTGGGATGGGACAATGGGATGGGACAATGGGATAGGATAGGTGTCACAGCCCTGGCACCAGAGCCCCTGGCCCCCAGTGCCCGTGTGCCACAAGATCCAGCAGCCCAGAGCCCCCCGTGACCCCATCGTGCAGCAGAGCCAAGGGACAGGTCAGGGCTCGATGTCCCACAGGCCACCCCGGCCACAGGTGCTGTCCCCACTGTACAGCAGGGCCAGGGGCCAGCTGTCCCAAGCAGAGGGTGTCTGTCCTGAGCAGAGGGTGTCTGTCCCTCTGCACCTCTCCTGGGGCCTGAGCAGAGTGTGTCTGTCTTGAGCAGAGGGTGTCTGTCCTGAGCAGAGGGTGTCTGTCCTGACCAGAGGGTGTCTGTCCTGACCAGAGTGTGTCTGTCCTGAGCAGAGGGTGTCTGTCCTGAGCAGAGGGTGTCTGTCCTGACCAGAGGGTGTCTGTCCCTCTGTGGCTCTCCTGGGGCTGAGGTTGTGCTGCCCCCACCCCCTCACTGGGGTCTCTGCCTGTTCCCCCTCGGGACACTCTCCAGCCCCCCCTTGGGTGCTGGCCCCACATCCCCTGTCCTTGGTCACTCCTGTGTGTGCACAGCACAGCCACGGGCTCCTGGACCCCCCAGAGCCCCTCCAGGAGGGGCAAAGGAAACCTCAGCACAGGGGGGGTTGAGAGAGCAGGAGTTTAACCAGGAGTCTAACCAGGAGTTTAACCAGGAGTTTAACCAGGAGTTTGAGCAGGAGTTTAAGCAGGAGTTTAACCAGGAGTTTAACCTGGAGTTTAACCAGGAGTTTGAGCAGGAGTTTAACCAGGAGTTTAACCAGGAGTTTAACCAGGAGTTTAACCAGGAGTTTAACCAGGTGTTTAACCAGGAGTTTAAGCAGGAGTTTAACCAGGAGTTTAACCCGGAGTTTAACCAGGAGTTTAACCCGGAGTTTAACCCGGAGTTTAACCAGGAGTTTAACCCGGAGTTTAAGCAGGAGTTTAACCCGGAGTTTAACCCGGAGTTTAACCAGGAGTTTAACCAGGAGTTTAACCCGGAGTTTAACCAGGAGTTTAACCCGGAGTTTAACCCGGAGTTTAAGCAGGAGTTTAACCCGGAGTTTAACCCCGCTGCACACAGGGGTTTGTCACAGCACTGACACACGGAGGGACGTGGAGGGCACAGTCCCAGGGGTGCCCGGGGGGCTGAGCCCCCTCCCGTGCCGGGGGCGGGTGTCAGTGGTGCCGCTGGTGGCCCTGCTGGCGCTGGGGGCCCGTGGTGACGGTGGTGGTGATGGTGATCCTGTTCACCGTCAGCCCCCCGGCGCCGTACGAGTCGAGGTGGGCCTCGCGCTTGTACTCGGAGACCTGCTTGGAGGAGAGGAGCTCCCACACCGACACCCGGCGCTCCTGGCACGGCCCCAAGGTGATGTAGGAGCCCTCGGACCGTAGCAGGTCCATGGTCTGGCGGGGCAGGGCCGCGAGCTGCCTCCCCCGGCCGGGGGGCACGAGGCTGCCGCTGGTGCTGAGCAGGTCCTGGATGGTGGGTGTCCCCTCACGGCACAGCTCCAGGAGCTCCTGCCTCTTCTCCTCGGGGATGTAGTCGGAGAAGAGCAGGTCCCACAGCGAGACCTGCCTCCCCCGCAGCTCACCCACTGACCCCTCGACTGGGGTGGCCTTCAGGGCCTCCTCCAAGGTTGTGTCCCCGTGCAGGGGGGTGGGCTCAGCCTCTGTGCCCGTGGGCTCTGCCTCAGGACCACCCACGGGTGACGTTTGCTCTGCCCTCGCTGCTGCTGCCTTGGTCACGATGGTGGTGACAACGCTCTTCACCTGCTCCAGGGTCAACTCCCCTGCCTCGTACAGCTCCAGCAGCTCCTTCCTGTTCTCCTCGGGGACATACTGGGAGTGGAGCAGGTCCCACACGGAGACCTTGTGGCCCCGAAACTCCCCGACCTCCACGTCGACCACCGTGGCTTTCAAAGCTGTTTCTCTCGGTTCTCTGGGGGAATTGTCACCCTCCTCTCCTGCCCCTGTCACAGTGTCCTTGTCAGAACCCTTGACTTTAATTTGGAATTTCCTGCCTGTAGATTCTCTTTTCTTGATGAGAGTGGTGACAACAAGCGTTAACTGCTCCAAGGCCAGTGTCCCCTCACGGTACAGCTCCAGGAGCTCCTGCCTCTTCTCCTCGGGGATGTAGTCGGAGAAGAGCAGGTCCCACAGCGAGACCTGCCTCCCCCGCAGCTCACCCACTGACCCCTCGACTGGGGTGGCCTTCAGGGTCTCTTCCCAGGTCGTGTCCCCGTGCAGGGGGGTGGGCTCTGCCTCTGTGCCCGTGGGCTCTGCCTCAGGACCACCCACGGGTGACGTTTGCTCTGCCTTGGTCACGATGGTGGTGACAACGCTCTTCAACCTGCTCCCAGGGTCACTCCCCGCCTCGGAAGCTACAGCAGCGCCTTCCTGTTCTCCTCGGGGACATACGGAGTGGAGCAAGGGTCCCACCGGAGAACCGTTTTGGCCCCGAAACTCCCCGACCGCCACGTCTAACACCGTGGCTTTCAAAGGCTGTTTCTCTCGGTTCTCTGGGGGAATGTCACCCTCCTCTCCTGCCCCTGTCACAGTGTCCTTGTCAGAACCCTTGACTTTAATTTGGAATTTCCTGCCTGTAGATTCTCTTTTCTTGATGAGAGTGGTGACAACAAGCGTTAACTGCTCCAAGGCCAGTGTCCCCTCACGGTACAGCTCCAGGAGCTCCTGCCTCTTCTCCTCGGGGATGTAGTCGGAGAAGAGCAGGTCCCACAGCGAGACCTGCCTCCCCCGCAGCTCACCCACTGACCCCTCGACTGGGGTGGCCTTCAGGGCCTCCTCCAAGGTTGTGTCCCCATGCAGGGGGGTGGGCTCAGCCTCTGTGCCCGTGGGCTCAGCCTCTGTGCCCGTGGGCTCTGCCTCAGGACCACCCACGGGTGACGTTTGCTCTGCCCTCGCTGCCGCTGCCTTGGTCACGATGGTGGTGACAACGCTCTTCACCTGCTCCAGGGTCAACTCCCCTGCCTCGTACAGCTCCAGCAGCTCCTTCCTGTTCTCCTCGGGGACATACTGGGAGTGGAGCAGGTCCCACACGGAGACCTTGTGGCCCCGAAACTCCCCGACCTCCACGTCGACCACCGTGGCTTTCAAAGCTGTTTCTCTCGGTTCTCTGGGGGAATTGTCACCCTCCTCTCCTGCCCCTGTCACAGTGTCCTTGTCAGAACCCTTGACTTTAATTTGGAATTTCCTGCCTGTAGATTCTCTTTTCTTGATGAGAGTGGTGACAACAAGCGTTAACTGCTCCAAGGCCAGTGTCCCCTCACGGTACAGCTCCAGGAGCTCCTGCCTCTTCTCCTCGGGGATGTAGTCGGAGAAGAGCAGGTCCCACAGCGAGACCTGCCTCCCCCGCAGCTCACCCACTGACCCCTCGACTGGGGTGGCCTTCAGGGTCTCTTCCCAGGTCGTGTCCCCGTGCAGGGGGGTGGGCTCTGCCTCTGTGCCCGTGGGCTCTGCCTCAGGACCACCCACGGGTGACGTTTGCTCTGCCTTGGTCACGATGGTGGTGACAACGCTCTTCACCTGCTCCAGGGTCAACTCCCCTGCCTCGTACAGCTCCAGCAGCTCCTTCCTGTTCTCCTCGGGGATATACTGGGAGTGGAGCAGGTCCCACACGGAGACCTTGTGGCCCCGAAACTCCCCGACCTCCACGTCGACCACCGTGGCTTTCAAAGCTGTTTCGCTCGGTTCTTCTCTGGGGGGGTTGTCACCCTCCTCTCCTGCCCCTGTCACAGTGTCCTTGTCAGAACCCTTGACTTTAATTTGGAATTTCCTGCCTGTAGATTCTTTTTTCTTAACGAGGGCGGTGACAACGGTTGTCATCTGCTCCAGAGTTAATAACCTCTCGTGGTACAGCTCCAGGAGCTCCTGCCTCTTCTCCTCGGTGATGCAGTCGGAGAAGAGCAGGTCCCACAGGGAGACCTGCCTCCCCCGCAGCTTCCCAGCTGGCACACTGATGGTGGTGGACTTCAAGACGTCATCCAGGTGTGTGTATTGAGCTGAACAATCGTCTCCATCGTCCCCTGCCCTCGCCACTGCCCTGTGTGGGTTTCTGGCCTTTGCCGCGAGCGCGGCGTTCGCGGCTTCTGCCCTGTTCAGGATGGTGGTGACCACCGTGGCCACCTGCTCCGTGCTCAGAATCCCCGCCCTGTACAGCTCCAGCAGCTCCTGCCGCTTCCCCTGAGGGACGTATTTGGAAAAGAGCAGGTCCAGCAAGGACACGTTTTGGCCCCGGAACTCCCCGGCAGCGACGTGGACGGTCGCAGACTTTAAGGACTTTCTCAGCTGCTGCTCCTGGGATTGCACGTCCTGAGCTGGGGGTGCCGCCCTCGCCTCGCTGTGGGGTCTGGCTGCGGGTGAGCTCAGGCCCCCATTTCCCGTTTCTGCCCCGGTGACGGTGGCGGCGAGGACGGTCGTCATCTGCGGGATGGTCACCGTGCCCGCCTTGTACTTCCTCAGCAGCTCCTCCCTCTGCAGCTCGGGGACGTAGCGGGAGAAGAGGAGCTCCCAGAGGGTGACGCTCTGGCCCTGGAAGAGCCCCACGCTGAGGGTGGTGCGGGCGGCCTGCAGGGCTTTGCGGGCGTCCTCGGTGAGCTGGTAGAGCACGGAGCCCTTGTCCATCAGCTGCAGCATGAGCAGCCCCGTGTCGGGGTCGGGGACGCAGCGGCGCAGCAGCTGCACGTAGGTCAGGTTCTCGTGGGTGTTGGGGTCGAAGCAGCTCCTGGTTTGATTCTCGGGGTTGCAGAGGAACTGTCCCGTCTCCTGGTCCAAGTAGCCACGCTCGCAGGCCACCTCCACGGGGACCCGGTGGCCGTGCTCGGGGTCGATGATGCCGCCGGTGGCGACCTGGGCCCCGAGCAGGCGGATGGCGTGTTCCCGGACGATGAACTCCTTCTGCATGGCCTGGAACAGCGAGATCCTGCGTCCCGTGTAGGGCTCCGCGTACCCGGTCACGGCTCCCTCTGCCGACAGCAGCTTCTCGTAGAAGTCCCGGCCGATGAGTCCCGAGGCCAGCGCCGCTCTCACCGAGAGCTGCTCGTTCCTCACGGGGTCCGTGAGCAGCCCCGAGGCAGCCTGTGCCTCCAGCAGCACCAGCGCCGTGCCCGGGGTCAGGAGCCCCCTCACCATGGCATCGTAGACGCTCAGCTTCTTGTTCTTGGCCTGGAGGAAGACTCCCGCGATGAAGCTGTTCCCGCCCCCGCCCATCTCTCTCTGTTCACCTGCAATCAGGTTCCTCCCCGCCTCGTTGTTCCCGGGGCGTCCACTCATCCCGTGCATCGTGTCTGGGGAACGCTCCTGCTCCCGAGGGGCACCCTCAGTGTCTGAGGAGAGACAAACGAACAGACCCCGCGCTCAGACCCAGCGCCCTCTGCGGTTTTCCCGGTGGGTGTGGACAGAGCCTCTCCCTGGAGGGTGTCACAGGAGCCCAGGGAGAAGCAGGGAGTGGGATCTGGGGCTCTGCTGCCGTGCTGCTCCCTCAGAGCAATCGCAGGGTGCAGGCCGAGCAGTCCCAGGGCATGTGACAGGTCAGGGACAGACACACATCACACAGAGAAGCGTCTTCTCAGCAGCGGGGACACCGTGGCCTCGCTCCAGGACCCACCTGCTCTCCCGGAGCCCGACACTGACTCAGACCTGTGGCCTGAACCACCTTCCTCTTCTCTTCCTGGGTGACACAACTATCACTTGCTTTTGGGCTGATGCCACTGGGTGCCAGCACGAGGTAGGAGTACTGCTCACCTCCCTGCTCACCTCCCTGTTCACCTCCCTGCTCACATCCCTGCTCCCTCCCTGCTCACATCCCTGCTCACCTCCCTGCTCACCTCCCTGTTCACCTCCCTGCTCCCTCCCTGCTCACATCCCTGCTCCCTCCCTATTCATCTCCCCGCTTCCTCCCTGCTCACCTCCCTGTTCACCTCCCTGCTCACATCCCTGCTCACATCCCTGCTCACCTCCCTGATCACCTCCCTGTTCACCTCCCTGCTCACATCCCTGCTCCCTCCCTGCTCCCTCCCTGCTCACCTCCCTGCTCACCTCCCTGTTCACCTCCCTGCTCCCTCCCTGCTCACATCCCTGCTCCCTCCCTATTCATCTCCCCGCTTCCTCCCTGCTCACCTCCCTGTTCACCTCCCTGCTCACATCCCTGCTCCCTCCCTGTTCACATCCCTGCTCCCTCCCTATTCATCTCCCTGCTCCCTCCCTGCTCACATCCCTGCTCCCTCCCTGCTCCCTCCTTCATCCCCTCCCTGTTAAAATCACTGCTCCATCCATATGGATCTCCCTGCTCCCTCCCTGCTCCCTCGCTGCTCCCTCCCTGCTCACCTCCCTGCTCACATCCCTGTTCCCTCCCTGCTCCCTCCCTGCTCCCTCCCTGCTCACATCCCTGCTCACATCCCTGCTCACATCCCTGCTCACATCCCTGCTCACATCCCTGCTCCCTCCCTGTTCACATCCCTGCTCCCTCCCTGTTCATCTCCCTGCTCCCTCCCTGCTCCCTCGCTGCTCCCTCCATGATCAAATACCTTGCTCAATCCCTGTTCCCTCCCTGTGCTCCTCCCTGCTAGCCTCTGCTAACATACTGCTCCCTCCCTGCTCACATCCCTGCTCACCTCCCTGCTCACATCCCTGCTCACATCCCTGCTCACATCCCTGCTCCCTCCCTGTTCACATCCCTGCTCCCTCCCTGTTCATCTCCCTGCTCACATCCCTGCTCCCTCCCTGCTCCCTCCCTGCTCCCTCCCTGCTCACATCCCTGCTCACCTCCCTGCTCCCTCCTTCCTCCCCTCCCTACTCCCTCCCTGCTCACATCCCTGCTCACCTCCCTGCTCCCTCCCTGCTCCCTCCCTGCTCCCTCCCTGCTCACATCCCTGCTCACATCCCTGCTCCCTCCTTCCTCCCCTCCTTCCTCCCCTCCCTGCTCCTCCCTGGCAGATTTTGCTGGTGGTCACTTCAGGAGCTCAGGTCATGCCAAGAGACAGTCGTGGCTCCCTGACATGATGCCAGCAGGCTCAGAGAGGCGCTGGCTGGTGCTGCCAGTCATTTTCCGCCCTGGCTGGCCCGGCACTGGTCCCCTGTGGCAGTGGTGGGACACGGCCAGCAGCAGGCAGGGTGACAGGCACAGCCCAAGGCGTGGCTGTGCGCTGAGATCCTCCTGGTTGTGCGATCCCACACCAGCCTGGCCCGACACAGGGCACGGGAATGGTCTCAGGGATGGACAAGTGGCTGCTCAGCCCCACGTGCAGCAGCGGGTCCGAGCCAGCAGAGACCTTCCCTCCAGCTGTGCTTGAGGTGGCTCTCTGGGTTCCTGGGTCACTGCTTGTTCTAAAGCCACGGGATCAGCAGAGTCCCCAGAGCTCCCAGACCCTGCCCTGCCACCCTCGTGTCCTGCAAAGCTGGGGGGGCTGGTCCTGTCTGTGGCTCCGTGAGCTGGGCACGTTTTGGATCTGTCTAAACACAGAATCATCCTGGAATCCCAGCATGGTTTGGGCGGGAAGGGACCTTAAAGCTCGTCTCGTTCCACCCTGTGCCGTGGGCAGGGATGCCACCCACTCACGGGATGTCTCATGCGCTGTCACCTGGTCCCCTCGTGAAGCCCTGTAAACAAACTTTCAGCCTCCCCAACATTGTGCAGCGATGAGGCCACAGTCTTGTAAAAACAGCAGAATGGAAACCCAAAGCATTTCTCTGGGAACACCCATGTCCCGTAAACCGCCGTGACTGACAGTAATGACACGTTTCCCTCATTATCAGGGTCAGAGCTTAAGTCTCCAGCTGTTTTCCCAACTGGTCGGGAAGTCCCTGAGTCATCGCTTTTGATCCATTTAAATATCGGATTGATGCCGGGGCAGAGGCAGCACGGGGGGGGGGGGAGAGCTTTGTCCCAGCAGCTCCAGCCCAGCCCCTGCTCTTTGGGGACCCCACCTGTGGCTTCGGGTTCTTCTGCCACCCACGGCTCTGGCCCACCTTTGTGCCTCCAGCCCCCGGCAGCAGCTCCTTCCCCTCCCTGCCCCACTCCGAGGAGGTGACGGGCTGGTTGTGCCGGGCTGGGGTGGCACCAGGCGCTGGACAACGCCGTGTCACACCCTGGAGGTGACGGGCTGGTTGTGCCGCCTGCTGGGGTGGCACCGGGCGCTGGACAGCGCCGTGTCACACCCTGGAGCCGGCGACACCTTTGTGGGACACGGATGTCGTGTGAACACCCAGCACTGCAAAGTCGTTTCCCAACTGCAGCCTGTCATTAGCTGGTCTCTAATCAGCCTCCTGATGCCGGGGCTGGGCTGCACACGCAGCTCCCGGGGCAGGGGCTGGCTGGGCCTTTGAGCTGTCGCAGCCCAGCCCGAGACACCCCACTGGAAGCGATTTTCCAGCTGGAGAGAGTGGGGGCGGCCCCACGGGGGTCCCCAGCCCTGCCTGGGGAGGGACATCACACCAGTTCCCCCAGCCCAGTGCTTGCTCGCAGCCTCCTCGCCAGGCTCCCAGCCAAGCCCCATTGCCCCATCCACAGCCTCCAGCTCTGGGATCTCACCAAGCCCTGCTGTGCCATCCACAGCCTCCTGTGCCAGCTCCCAGCTCAGCCCCACTGTGCCAGCCACAGCCTCCAGCCCAGGGATCCCAGTGAGCCCCACTGTGCCAGCCACAGCCTCCTGTGCCCTCCGCAGCCTCCCGTGCCATCTCCCAGCTCAGTCCCACCGGCCCAGGCTCGGGCCCCGGGTGCCCGCGGGCTCAGGCGGGTCCCACAGCTCTGGCTGTTCCCCTCCCTCATCCCAGCTCAGCTGAAGCGTCGGGGACACAAAGTTGGTCGCAGGGAGCAGCAGCTCCAGCCAGCTCTGGTGCCACTCGGTCGCTTTGTCCCCTCCCAGAAAAGCCCTGAGTCCTGCCTGGAGCCCCCCCGCTCACCAGTCCCGGGGTCTCAGCTCCCCACGCTGGGGCACGGGGCACAGGTGAGGTCCCCACATCCCCTGCGGGTCCCTGGCAGCTGCACGGAGGGTGCCCTGCAGGACCAGGGCTGTGCTGGCCCTGGGGACCCCCGGGTGGGCTCTGTCCTACCTGCCGGACACGTATCCAGAGCGGTGGATCCCCGTCAGGCTCTGGTCCTCCTCCTCCTCCTCCTCCTCCTCCTCCTCTTCCTGCCGCCTCCCAGCCAGGACGAGCAGCCGAGGCAGGTACCCAATTTAAATCCTTCCCTTCCCCGCCCCTGGGGATCCAAGGAGGCCCTGCCCTGTGCTGACACGCGGGATCACACCTGGAATACACACCTGGGATACACACCTGGACCCCGTGGGGTGGCAGGGCTGGGGCACGGGGAGCAGCCCCGGTGGGAGACGTGGGACACATCCCGCTGCGAGGCTTCCGGACTCTGCCACCACCTTCTCGTGACAGCACAGCCACCCACGGACAGCCCCGTGTCCCGCCTGTCACGGGGGTCTCCACGGACCTGGCTTGTCACATCTGGGCTTGTCAGCTCTGCCTTTGCCCCGCCTGACCCCCTTGGCCGGCTGGGGAGCTGCAACCCCTCTCCTGCCACTGTCCCTGTGGGCTGGGACAGAGACCGAGCCTGCCCCTCGCTGTGGCCGTGTCTGGTTGTGCCTGGGCCCACAGCAGGGGACAGGTGTTGGCCACGCGTGTGCAGGGGGACATTGGTGAGGGTGTGTGTGCTCCCATCCACCTGCACGTGTGTCCGTGCCTTGGTGTGTGGCTCTGGTGTGAGTGTGTGTGTGTGACTGTGTGAGTGTGTGTGACTGTGTGATCCCAGACACACGTGTGTCAATGTGTGTAGGTGACTCTTTCTGAGCCCAGACACACATGTGACAGTGTGTGTGTGACTGTGTGAGCCCAGACACGTGTGTCAGTGTGTGTGTGACTGTGTGAGCCCAGACACATGTGTGTCACTGTGTGTGTGACTGTGTGAGCCCAGACACATGTGTGTCAATGTGTGTGTGACTGTGTGAGCCCAGACACACGTGTGTCAATGTGTGTGTGACTGTGTGAGCCCAGACACACGTGTGTCAATGTGTGTAGGTGACTCTTTCTGAGCCCGGACACACGTGTGTCAGTGTGTGTGCCAGGTGTGACCGAGGCAGCACGTGCAGCTGCCCCAGCTGGGCTGTGTGACTGTATCCTGCCATGGCCCCGGCCCCGTGTGAGTGTGCGTGACTTGTGTCCTGTGTGTGACCCATGCCCCCGTGTGTGACTCCTGTCCTGTGTGTCACTCGTGTCCCCATGTGTGACTCGTGTCCCCATGTGTGACTCGTGTCCTGTGTGTGACTCGTGTCCCCGTGTGTGACTCGTGTCCCCGTGTGTCACTCGTGTCCCCATGTGTGACTCGTGTCCCCGTGTGTGACTCGTGTCCTGTGTGTGACTCGTGTCCCCGTGTGTCACTCGTGTCCCGTGTGTGACCGTGTCCCCGTGTGTGACTCGTGTCCTGTGTGTCACTCGTGTCCTGTGTGTCACTCGTGTCCCGTGTGTGACTCGTGTCCCCGTGTGTGACTCGTGTCCTGTGTGTGACTCGTGTCCCCGTGTGTCACTCGTGTCCCCGTGTGTCACTCGTGTCCCGTGTGTGACCCGTGTCCCCGTGTGTGACTCGTGTTCCCGTGTGTGATCCGTGTCCCGTGTGTCACTCGTGTCCTGTGTGTCACTCGTGTCCCCGTGTGTGACTTGTGTCCCGTGTGTGACTCCTGTCCCCGTGTGTC